CTTTTAAATAAAATCAATTATTTTGGTGCTTAAGACCCACGTTTATTTTCTAATTGTTTACCTCCTGGACTGAATGGAATTTAGAAGTGGTTTTTCCAATTTTGGCACACTTTTGTAACCGGTTTTGTACCTTCTATTTCGTGGGGCCTTATGCGTTATTAAGTATCTTTTGGTGGTCTTTTTTCTTTTGCGGTTACGGCTGTGCAACGGTAGGCAAATAACTATCTATCACATATCATCATCATCATCATCACCATCATCATCACCATCATCATCACCATCATCACCATCATCACCATCATCATCATCATCATCATCATCATCATTGGCATACGCATACGCATGGGCTCATTATTAATTTTTGTTCAGTTGATTTCCTTTACCCATATTTGAACAGCTATTTCTTGGTTAGGGGGTCAAAAGGGGTAGACAATTCGAGTATTTAACGGGTACTCGTTCGAATATCTATCTATCTTTGTATTCAGACAATGTTGATTAACATGCTACGGAATGATGTTGTTGAGTCACGTTCAATCAGCGGGCGTTTTTGTTGTAGTGTTGTTTATATTTATATTTTTACTCTAACAAAGGGTACTATAATATTTAAGATCAGCATCTGCATAGTTATATAAATATAAGTTTCTTCTGTTGTTAGGCTTTAATATCAAATATAAACCATATCTAACTTTAAAACCCAATCTAATCGAAATAGCCTAGAGATAATGCCACATAAATCGTAAGTTTATGGTTTAATACTTGGAAATCGATCAAAAAACTGCTATTAGGTCAGAGTCATATAGTTGTCACCTGACAATCTAGTCAAATAAATTAACTATTACAGTTCTAGATTACTTTAAGTTAATGTATAAAAATTGTCGGCTTTCGGCTTTACTTTTGTGACTATGTTTCATGTTGATGTAACACTACCTTTGTTGGCAGTGTCGCACCATAAAAAAGTGGGTGGAATGAGGTAATGGGTGGTGTTTCGGTAAGGTAAAATGTAGTTGCATTATCGGATGGCAATTTACTTGATATGCTTAAAAACTCTGGCGACCCGAAGACAAAACCGGTTTAACGAAAGCGAAACAAAGTGACGCAAAATTGTTTTCTTGGCCAGTTAATATTTGCAATTACGTCACTCAAACATTTACCCTCCCCAAAAAGCTTTGCAAACAAAACAATAAACGCGACTTGCCTTCAGTTTTTTTGTATAATTTTTTTGAGGCCGCTAATTAACATCTATTTGTGTTAAATTGTGCCTAAATTGCCTTCAAGAAGTTAGACCACCAGGCAGAGTTAAGTATCTTTACGTACCCGCATTATAACAAGGGCTAAATACTATCATATTATCAGTAAATACAATGCAAGTTGTGATAATTTTCCGATAAAGAATTTTCGTAGGAACAAAATAGCATTTATAGATGCTATCATCTGAGATTTAGGTTCCCCCCATTCTTCACTTCAAAACCAATATTTACTTTAGCTTCAGTCGTTTCGAATATACATATATGTATATATTTTATCGAGATCTGAATGCAGCTTGGCTTTTGTCAACATTGTTATGGTTGCATTCAAGTTAATTTTAAATGCAAAAGGGGCTGCAGCTCAAGCACTTCGATATAAAAACGATTTTCACTCTTCTCTTTTATTTACTTAAACCATTTTCTGTGTCATTTCATTCTTGTTTTGTAATTTTAATGCAAATGCCAAGGATTGTTTAATGGAAACCAACACACTCGACATACAGAATCCATCAAAAAGGGACTGGCACAGTGGCTCGCAGTTCATTGATGGTATATTAAATATACATATTTATAAATTATAAAAAAAACATATTTATAAAATTATATATTATACATAAAGTACAGTAAAATATTTTCATAAATTTATATTGTAACCGGAATAGTTTATCAAGTATGCAGTACTGGGATTACCCCATAAAAAAAAATACATTCATATCTCCCTCACATCGGCCACTCAAAATGCTCAGCTTAGCGGCAATTAACACTGACACTCCCACGCAGCAGAGAAACAGCAAAGGCAACAAAAACAGAAACAGAAATTGAAACAACAAGACGAAGAGACAAAACAAGGAGAAAGAGGGGGGTAAAAAAAAGAAAGAAACCAGAGACGAAAGACAAACAAAGGCAGTGCTTTGTGCGTGGGTGTGGCAACTCAGCCTCAGTTCTTGAATTTAACAGAGGCCACAATGTGTTACTCATATGCCATTAGCAATGATCATGATAATGTATTACATTGTCTAGCAGAATAGAGACGTTTTTAATTTACTAATAACTATATCCTTTTCATATATCTTTTATCTATTTCATAAATACTTCAATTGATTACAACTATTTCCTCCTCCTTCAACTCTGTTTAATAGGACGCTATCAGAGCCTGTTTCTTAGTGTCCTGTTAACATTTCTCAGATAGATAAACTCCTGGTTAGCCTAACAAAGGGTTTTCTCAACGAATCAAGTCAGAAAGTTATCTTAAAGAAAGGACATTTCTCATATGATTTTCTTGACAATTTCTTAATTAAAATTTACTGGCATTTAATATAAATCTTGACTTGACAGGCACTACATCAAGAATTTAGTGTTATTTAAGTGTCAGTAACAGGAATTAAATGACAAATAAACACAGGAAAACACAAGCTTTAGACATTTGATAACGCTGGGAACTAAAGGTTTGAGGGATTTAACGATTTATGAGCTATTAACTATTTAAAAATATAGTTTTTTTTTTCAGTGGTTATTTATTTCCAATATTTATCTATCCCACTGCATAGGTTGTTTTTTTTTTTTTTTTTTGTGCATCCTGCTTTACCGATTGCGAACTCGTTTTTTATGTCTTTTAACGTACTGATATTTTTATGACCGGCTAGGCTCCACTCTGCATTTTCAGCGTTGGCGTGTTTGTTATTCCTCTATTTTCGGTCTTGGAATTGAGGAAAATTACGAGCTCAGCGAAATGCAAAATGCATAAAAGTGCCTTAGAGGAAAGGGGAACACCGAGGTGAAGTATATGACGGCGGTAAAATAGCAAGAAACAATTGAAAACTATTAAATGTGTGCATAAAATTAAACTAAAATTGCTTGACTCTCAGTGCCCCCTTAAACCAAGGTGACGACGACTGGCACGACGCACATTGGGGCAAAAGAAGATATAACTAAACTTACAATCTTTGCATTATTTAAATCGATATTTATTGAGGCCATTTTTTCAACAAATCAAAGATTAAAATATCATAACCAAGCCAAAAAAGGTTTAATTTTAATTCGTTAAGCATTCCCAAGTTAGTTTTTGTATGGTTTATAAATCTGCATACTCAATGAACAATTTTTAAAAATCTAAATTTTTTGCAATTTTTTTGGTCAATTTTAACGATGAAAGCCCTTCAAAATTTTCGAAAAAATTTTAAAACAATTTTTTTTGTCTGAGATGTCTAGATCGATTTAGCTGTTGATGCTGATCAAGAAAATATATGAAACATAGGGTCGGAAACGACTCCTTCACATAGTTACAAGCTTCTGAGTGAGATTATAATACCCGTCAGGGGTATAAAAAGGGAAGGATAAGCACATTCGTTACCCTATACCTATACTTCCATATATGTATATTTAATATAAGCTCCTGGATGAAGCTAACTACGAAATATCCTACACTATCCATCTATTCTAGTTCTTGTACTCTGATTGATCCTGTAATAATCTCTATTCCCTGATATTGCCCCATTGTGGTGGCCCCACTGTTCGGCTGCTGCTTTCAGAGCAAAGCCAAGATATAAACTGATGCTGAGACGTTGTTTTTCACGCTCTCTAAGTGAGTTTGCTGGTATATTAACGTTTGTGCTTGTGTGCTTGCGATTTGTATTTTTATTTTAAGCAGAAACTGGTTTTCTGAGATCCAACCCCCTCCCCCCCCCCCTGTTAAGGGTGACCGAGGGGAGATACTTTTATGTGGTGTCATAGTATGGAAATAAATGCACGTTATACCGCTCTGCTAACCTTGCTAAAATTTAAATAAAATCTTTTGCAAAGTTGTACAAACAAATATATATAGTTGACAAGTGAAATTTTTTGTTTATTATTTATTTGTTATTTATTTATATTTTTGTTATGCTATGATAGCGACTAGGAGATACCCTGTACTCAAATGTAGAGCAGAAAGATTTTATTTCTTTGGGGAAAGGATGTAGGGAAAGTATTAGAAATATTATTTCGAAAAAAAATCAAAGTAAAAGTATTTTGAATGCAATTGCAGAATAATCCCTGGAATGCAAGTAAAAGTATTTAAAATACAATCAAATACGTTCGTACAATAATAGTCTAACTCTATTTCTTTCCGAGAGCTACAGAGAGAAGAAAAGATAAAGGAGATGTTGTGGGAAACTTGTTTGCTCATCTGTCCCCCCTTCCACCCACATACTCTCTCCCTCTTTCACTCTCTTAAACACACACAGACACACACCCTCTTTACCACACACACACAGACATACAGTGGAGCCCATGGAAGCAGCCACATTAACCGTTAGCTGGCAAAGCGTTGACTCTTCTTCAACGTTGTCGCTACTTTTTCTTGCTCTCTTCTTCTCTCTCTCTCTATCCTGCCCCTACCCCACCTCGTCATCATCCTTCTCCTCGTCGTAACATCATGGGGGGTTGATTCGCACTGTTGAAGGCCAGCTTCGCAGTCGCAGTCGCAGTCGGCGTCGGCGTCGTTGCTCCCCATTATCAACGACGACGCCCACATGCACCGCTTAACGGTTTCTTCCTTCTCCACCTCCTCTTCCTTTCAGAGCCACGCTTGGTGGTATGCCTGTGTGTTTGTGTGGGTGCATGCGAGTGAGTCATGCAATTGACAATTAATTTTAATAATTTGCCGCCTCTATTATTGTTATTGATTGAATTTCTACATTTAACTCGGTTTCTTATTATTCATGATTTCTCATTATATCTTCGTTACTCGTTTCTTGTCCTCTGCCACCACCAACTTACCTCGGTGAATTTTTCCTTGATCTCCGCCTTTTCATCAATGGACAGTGTTTTTGTGAATTTGTTTAGTGCTGCCATCTTTGTTGTTGTTGTTGTGGTTTTGTTTGTCGCTTCTCTCAACTCTCTCGAATTCGTATAACTGGCGTTTGATTGGTTGAATATATTCAATAAATTATGCCTTTTATTATTAATTTCACTGTTATTTCGCTTGGCGAAGACACTTTCGTCGGTAACTTTTATTTGTTTACTATTTTGTTGTTGTTTAAATCTCTCTTGCGAACTCCAACTGAATATTTTTGGCTTGTTTCCTTTGCACACAATCACCGCTCGTTGTTTGTATTTTGTTTTCGTTCTCAAAAAAAAATTGGTAAACTACGCGTCGTTTTAGGTAAAATATTCACTGTTTCGATTAAACCAATACGGCGGTTTAAGTCGCAATCTGCAATGAACCGGCTACTGTACGGTTTTGTTAACAATACTTAACAAATTGTTAATGCGACGGAGCAGCGAGAAAATCTCGCGAGAGTCGGAGAGATTGGTCTGGCCGACCGCACTTGTCGATAAAAATGCCGAAATTCGTCAGAGAAAGACAGGATTTTTACTCCCGCGGCTGCTGGTCACACTCAAACATGAACGTAATCAAATCGCTTGGCGCAATGTCAGGTTCTTAGAGCGATGTAAAGGGTTTTAAAGAGAGAGGGATAGAGTGAGAGAAAGAGAAAGAGAGAGAGAGAGAGAGAGAGAGAGAGAGAGAGGAAGAGAGAGCAAAAGGGATGACAATAGTTGGGATACTCTTGTCGGCATAAAACAAGAGAAAAAATACTATAAAGTTGATTGGCGTTGCCACATAGGCGGGGGAACACAATTAGTATTTCGCCAGCAGAGTGTGAGAATAGAAATAACTGAAAAGTTGTAACAATGCAGAAAGAGGATACAATAATGTGACGTTTTAAAAATGAATTAAAATATATTAATGTTGTTTTTTATCTGTTTCACTCAAATTGACAATAGGAAATATATCAACATATCGATAGGTTCCAGTATTTTAACTGAATATATCGATTGCCGCGCCGCTGTCACTCTTTGGTTCGCTCAACACCACCTGGTCACACTGTTAAACATTGTTGCCTTTTTTATTCTATTCCCGGAAATTTTCGCTGTTTTAGCGATCGCCGCTGATTTGTTTGGCCGATTGAGGTCAGAGGCCAAAGGCTACTGCAATCGACTCGGACTCCAGCCATTCGACAGCCGCTCTGCAGCAGAGGTCAACCTCTGTTGTTGTTGTTGTTTTCGCCAGCTGCTACATCCCCCTGCGCGTGTGTGCGTGTGTAAGTATTTCGGAATGCGCGTGTGTGCGTGTGTGTACAAGTGCACGAAATAACAACAAAGCTTAAAACGCATTTACGTTTTGAAAGCGATTTATTTACACATTTCTTTATTGCAGAAGACACAAAGAAACGGGCTAATCCAGCAAAGGAGCGAGAGCAAGCAAGCGCCGCCAGCAGCAACATGGATGTGGAGGAGAATTACGAGAACTCAACAGAAATGCAGAATCAAAATCTGAATCTAAACCTAAATCAAAATCAAAATTCGAATTCTAATACAAATGCCAATGCCGACCCACAGCAGCAGCAGCAAATGCAATGTGAGCCTCTGTTTGGATTAACAACCAATACAACAACAACCACAAACCCCATGATGGCCATCCCGCTGCCAGCGCCGCCCGGCATGCTGCCCCATCCGCATCCGCAACCGAATTCGAATCCGAATCCAAATCCCACAGCAGCCACAACAGCCGGATCGGCGCCCGCAGCATCGATTAAAGGATTACCGACAAACGACTTCGATATTGACTCCATATTGCTGCAACAGTTTAGCTGCATGGGCACCACGGATCACGAGGATCTCATCAGCCAGTTCCAGAGTCTGATGAACAATCAGATGAATCGGGAGTCGGCCAGATTCTACCTTGAGATGAGCAACTGGTGAGACCTCACAAAACTAAACAATACTATGAATTTCATCATTATAATCTATTTTACAGGAGCCTACAGACCGCAGTGGGTTGCTACCTGGACTTTTGCAGCCTTCAGTCGCTGCCCTCGATGAAGATCGTGCAGGGCAAACATTTGAATGCCCAGCAGCAGGCCTTCCAGCTGCAGAATGATGGCACTGAGCGTTGGCCAAACAACTGCTATCTGACCTCACCCATCCAGACGCAGCGCATCAATGTGCCCGCCCTACGTCCAGGCGAAACTTGTGATATACTGGCCGATCTGATGCCAACGCAGCCACCGATAATGTGGCGATTGTGTACACCAAATGGCTGGTACTTTGGCGGTGAGCAAAGATAAAAAAAGAGACTTTTAATTTACGAAGGAATCAACTGGTTAACTTATTCTCGTTGAGCATAAGCATAAGCGTCAAGGTTGCTAAGTAATTAGCAATACAAATCTTTGAATAATTGAATTTCTATGAAATTTCAAGGAGATTTCTCTCTATTTTCTCTATTTTCTATTGTTTTTTATCCTCCTTTCATTAAAGAAAACAAGTTCTAATGATTAAATCCCTTTTTTAGATGCCATTTGGATGATTCCACCAGGAACGCAAGCTAGCCAGGATGAACTACAACAGCGGATGGTTCAGTTAATTACATCGGAGGCCAAGCCAGATGTCTATCCGCAGATCAACATCGTGATATCGGCCCACACACAATAATTACTGCGAGCAGCACAGCCAGTGTCCAGAATCTGGAATTTGGAAACTGGAACCATTATTATCCTCCCTCCATAAATCTGGCAAAATTATTCCGTTTTCCATACAACAAAAAACAAACAAATCATATTGCGGGGTGTGTGTTCAGTTCCCAAAAAAAAAAAAAAAACAAACTCATTGATAGCATTTTACATACCCTGCGAATTCTAACATTTACGATTAGACCTTATAAGCCCAACGTTTCCGCCTTAGTTCCCAGTACTGGACAGACAAAATCAAGACACTGTTTTTTTTTAACACACACTTGACGCCATACACAGCAATTGAATTATGTATGTAGCCCCATACGGGAATACTGCCCTTGAATCCTTGTCCTAATCCTTATGTATGTTTAAAACTAAGTAATGAAACACACTATACATATTGCATGGGTTTATTTTCCGATATCTGTTTGTTCGTAAAGTATCATAAATTGATTGTACTTTTAAATTTAAGTTAAAACCTAATAGTTGCAGAGTATAAAGATCCAAAAGTATGTTAGAAACGGTATAAAGATCATTTATAAAGAATTTGAAACCTTAAGAATTGTTATCCTATTGATTTCTGATCTATTGTGAAGTTTACCAAGGTTTGTGTTCTTTTATTTGTTTACCATAAAAACTAATTGGAAATTTGATTTATGCAATATTTGTATTGTGTGTTTGGAACTTGGCTATAACCTAAAGTTTTTTAGTTTGTTTGTATACTTTCACGAGCCCCTCTTCCTGTATTTGGTGTCAGAATGATAAAGTTTATATATACAAAAAATTGTGAAGTAAGGCAAACGTGAAAAGTGAGCGTGAAATGCGAGAATCGTGTGGCCACCCTAGGTTCTTTTGATTGTTTTTTTTTATTTTTTTTTACTAGGCAGTAAAGATGCGTGTGTGCGTTTGTTTTATGCATAATTAATTAAACTTTTTCTATAATTTAAAATCCTATTTTTTGAGTAAAAACGAGAAAATGATTAAGTGGAAGGACTTTGTAACAAAATTAGACTTAAGTGTTTTATTGAGCTGAACAAGACAGATGAAGAACGAATGAAAAGAGTTGTGTTTTATTTGGAAGTGGTGAAAATATAAATCTATGATAATATTTTAATGTTTTTGGGGAATGGGGAACTACATATATACATGGTTTAAAATTTGAATAATCTCATTTGTTGATGTTTATAAAAGGGAGTATAAAGAAAATAGATAATTGTGTTCAATGTAATATATAAAGTAATATTTAGTTATCAGTATATATGTTTGGGAATTTAAAAAGAAATATAACAGATTCTAGAATGGCCAGATATAGATTTTTCGGATCTCTGGCTATCTTTGGTGAGTACCCAAAGCTACAATGTTCTATGAGATTTGATTACTTCTGTGATACAAACATAACACAGTAAATATTTATTAAAACGTATTTAATTTATTTATATAAATTTATACACTTGCTTTAAAGCTTAGAAATGATTTTAAAATTCAATATTAATCAAAATTTATATTTTTTAATCTCTAGAAAATAAAACTCGATTTTCATAGACAATTTTTTCGACAAATCAAATTTTAAAAATCTCATAACTAAGCCAAAGAAGCATTAATTTTAATTCTGAAAGCGGTTCTATGTTAGTTTTTATAATTGTAATAAATCTGCTTACTCAATTTAAGATTTTAAAAAAATAAATTTTTTATCATTTTTTTTTTACAATTTTAACGATGAAACCCCTTAAAAATTAAAAAAAAAATTGAAAACAATTTTTTTTTGTCTGAGATGGCTAGATCGATTCGGCTGTTCATGCTGATCAAGAATATATATGATTTATAGGGTCGGAAATGACTCCTTAAAAAGTTATAAGCTTTATACCCTGCAAGGGTATAAAATTGCTAATATTGTCTTATTCGTCAGTTAGTAGATTTTTACACTCAACAGTAGCTTTCTTACTAATTTTTTCAATAATCTTAAGACCTCTTTGGCTCTACACTTTTTTATTTCGAAAGTCCCCATATATTTTGTCATATAAAGTAAAAGAAAGTAAAACAAGAATATACCCTTTAAAAAAAGGAAATGAAAGCCTGCTTGTACTTTTCCCTGACTTTGATTTAATATTTTGATCACACGATGTAATCCGATTGGCAGCAATATTACTTATGCGTTCCCCTTGTTGTCCTTAACTTTATTTTTTGCTTTGCATGAATATTATAATTGAGTAAAAAATGCAAAAATAAGAACACCAACGACACATACACACATATGTATGAATAAATACAAACGTTGGCTCCTGTGAAGGCATGGAAAATGAATGCATTGAAACGTAAAAGAAAATTACAAGCCGCCAAGGAATAACAGCAGAAGCAACAAGAAAAACAAGGATATGGAATGCTTGAACATATAATAATCGAATATTAGGATACTCTTTAAAGTCAAAGGATAGTTAGGTTGTGATTTTAAGGATTCTTACAGGGGAATACTGATCATTACTATTTTAAATCAGTTTCAAATGAAATGAGTATTTCTGGAATGAATATAGTATAGTTAATTATAATAGATATTTAAACTTTAAAGGACATTTGGCAAATCATATATTTCCTAGGTCCCCTTACATATCTTAGTAAATCGGAGTCTATAAAGACAGTGACAATGGCGCCAACTAACTACGTTTTGACTTGAATTACAAATGATGAACCTGCAGTGAGGGGGTTTAGAGGTACGAAACGAAAGCACACACAGATATATATATACATATATATATATATATACTATATATGGGGTCTGGTTCGGTTGAGCGGATTGGGATTGGGATTGGGATCCTCCCTCCATTGGGCCACTGCCATGTCATGGACAATCAAATCAAAAAGGCGTCAAAGCACAAGTCCTCTTCCACAATTTTGCCCTCTCTCTCACTCCCTCTTACAGAGAACTCTCTGTGCTTTCCTGCTCTTTCACACCCCCATTCTCAGTCCTACTCACTCTACAATTTTCTATCTCATTCGCACTTGTGGGAGCACAAATTGCGCGTTTTCTCGTTTCATGTAACATTGTAAAATTGCATTTGCGCCTTCCTACTGTCCATATCTACACGTTTCATCCTTCCACTCTCCTTCCTCTCCCTATCTACTGTGCCTCATCTCACCATCTACCATTCTATCTACACTGAACAAAAATTAGGTGCTACAAGTATTAAAAATATGATTTATTTAATAAACTGGGTATTGTTGTGATTTGAAGAGATCCATTCAGTATTAATGGACATGAACATAATTGAACAACAGAAAAACAACTAATAATATATGAAAAGAGAAAATGAAGAAATGAAGAAATATACAAATGAGCAAATTAATATAACAATCCATTTAACAGATAAAGTTACTACAAGTTACTATCAGGAAGAATGCCTTCTGGATTTTTTAAGTGTATTCTACTGTCTCATCCGCTCTACACTCACCTCATTGTTGTTGTTCGAAAATTCAGATTATGATTTGATTGACAAACAGCCCAACTCCCGGTTTTTCGTGCAGAGAGCTGGGGACTTTGGGCTCCCTGGATGGGCATGGGGCACGCCAGGCCTATTTGATATTCATAGATTGGGAATTACAAGGCAGCCATTGGCAATTGTCAACAAGCCCTTACACACACAGGCTAACACATACACCACACACTTTCGAATCAACACTCACATAAGGGCACGTGCTGATGTTACAGCGATGCCAATTTGTTTGTTCATTTGGTTTCATTTCATTTGTTTTTTTTTCACCACCGGGAAAAGCAAATAACGATGGGGAACAGCCTATCAGGATTCCCCAACCACGTTGTGAACTTTACGACGAAGAAGGTCCTGTTACCAATTTTGCATATATGAGAAAGTTGCTCAATAATAATCCTAACTTGCAAGTAAAATTCCTCCAAGTTTATGGACTTTTTAATTACAAATTTATTTCTATTGAAATATCTATATTTTTATCAGTGAAAGATTGTTTAATTTAACTATAAAATGCGGCAAAAACTGTGATATTTTTGAACACAAATCTATAGTAAATTTATACCACGAAGTCTGTTTAATTACCCGACTTTACAGTTTCCATTGCTCTTATTCTTAAAATACGTTTTATATGCCAGATTAAATCGATCTGATTTCACATTTTTCAATGGAAAATCTGATAAACTGAGCATAATTTCGTATTTTTAAGATAACTGATTACTTTTGTAATCTTGATTAAACTATTTTTCACATTCCTCACTCATTTAAATTGCATTCCAATCAAGTTAAGCTTCACCCACTTCCCCGTAGCACATTAAATGTATAAAACAATTGCCAGACAGTTTGACGCTGTTGGGAAACCTCGAAATGCAATTCTAAAACCAATTCAAAGCTTCAAGATGCACAGAGAAAAACTTTAACCTAGTAAAGAAGAACCCATAGATCCTAGCCATGTCTAAAAGTGATTTAAAACAAGTCTTTCCCTTGACTTTCTTTATATATTTTCATGTAGTGGTTGAAAGTCTGTTTCTTTTTATAATAATATATATTATTTGATATATATATTATTTTGCCTGTGTGTAAGTCTGAACCGATTCAATTTGGGACACGTTTTTTCGATTCCCGTCCACTCTGTTCAAGCTGGTGGTCGATTTTTATGAGCGGCGCGCGTTGACAGCTTAAAAGTCTCTTAGCATGAAAAATATTGTCAACGCCGATTCCCAACTCTTTGACTGGTTCGTTGTTGTGGGTTGGAAAAACCTTCTGACTCTGACTCTGGACTCTTGGTCTTGATGTGTTGCGGCGATAAGATTTTGATAGGGGACCCGGACTTATAAGTATTTATGCGAGGCACCCTTCCTGCCATTTGGGCCATTCAGGACCAGAAACTTATCTCCGGCAACTGACAATCAAAGGTATCAGGTATGCCACGATGGCATTAGGGGCACTCATAATTACCACTCTACCGCTAAATGCACTAAAATCGAAGAGTGATTAACTCGATATCGACAGAGAGTAGATTTAATTCACAAATTGGTAAGCAGTAAAAGGTTAATAAGTAGGTTATTAGTGATTGTTTATGCGTAGATATGGGAATAAATTTGTGTTTATTATGTTAAATAAATAATATGTAATATAAATTCTTTAAAAGAATCTCATAATTAAGACCCTTTTATTGTAAATT